GCAGAGCACACACACACACACACACACACATTGAAGTGCAACTTGACGCCATCCAGAGTTCTGTAATTAAGACTTCAACATGGAGAAAGACACATTGTGCCAAGTGGGTTACACTGAAGTCAGTTTTACTTAATACTTTCACTTAATAGCTTTCTGCTGCTTAGACATTTTATCTATTTACACAGCTGCTATTAAAAACATTCTGCTGAGCCAGATACTATCAGTTTCCAATAAGACACTTCCAGCTATACCACATAAAATGTGAAATTTTTCTTCCCATCTGAAATTTGCCGACTAAGGCATCATTTTTGTAAATTGCTCCATTTCCTTTGGATTCAGTACAATTGAGCACCACTTAAGAATTTCTAATATTTTTGAATTACCAGAAAAATCTATTTAAGTAAAACATCCACCAATATACTGGGAAACCTGAATGAAAATGTATTTTTCCCCCTAGATCATCTAATGCAGACTTCTTGGCATGTGCATAATCTAGTTAAAGAGGAGGTGCAAAATATGTCTCAGGATCAATCTAGTTCTGTAAAACAAGTCAAAACCACAACATTAATATTTATTTTAAAAAAAGAAATCTGTCATTAGTAGTTTATAATTTACCTTATAGAATTCATTTCCTGTAAAAACATTACTTATATTCCATTTGTACAGATTGCATAATATCCTAAGGCTCTTCAATGGAGACCTATTCATTTCACAACAGAAAACGTATTAGTAAACCCCACAAAAAACTTACATTCCCCAAAATGTCCACAATCTCTGCAAACAGAATTGTCCCACTGACAGATGTTGGACTCATTCCATCTTACTTTCCTCTTCTTTCAATGTAATCTTAATCGTGTGTGAATGTCCTTGAACTGATCAGGTAATTTAGTAATTTAGCAAAGCACAATGTATTTACCCTCCCAATGCCAAACCACAATTTCTCTTCCATTCACTGCAGTTTTCATTTACTCCTCTGACGAGCTTGTTACTTCATAAAAATTGGTACTGTCGTTTATTCTTTTTCAAGATTGATTTCCATCTGATTTAAAGAGTTATTTACATAAAATTGGTACTGTCGTTTATTTGCCATAAATCACTTGCCATAGTAGAAATACCTGAATGTTTTTGAGCTCCATAGTTTTAAAAATTTTTTTGAAGAATTGCTCAAAAATGTACATGAATGAAGAATTGTGCTTTGAGACTTTTAGGCACCAAACTTTGCTTAAGTGTTTCAACTAGAAAGACCTAATTGAATGCAAATACTTTTTAAATACTATCATAATAATACTTGCATTTGATGTAGCACCTTATCAGGTCTTCGATACGTCTCAAAGCACTTCACAGAATATACTGTAAAGTGAATTGACTATATTTTGTGGGCGAAAGAATTCTTTCACAGTCCTGCAGAACACCAACAATGTTACACTAACAAAGGTAGGGAGTCTGGGTTTCAAAATATGAGTCCACCACACAACTATGGAGAGAACTATGCCACTTAAGGAAATAATCTGATTTATAAACGGATTTGATGAAAATAAATCCACAAGATATTACAATACCACCAATTTTGGGGTTGCTAACATATAGGTTATACCACATCTGTAAAAATAAATTTACAAGAAAATCAGTACTGCTGGATAGTCCTCTGCAGCACTGTATTTAAAATAAGCTCATTAAACTAAAATCAATACCACACATAGTTCTTTTCACAGTCCTGCAATACACCAACAATGTTATACTAAAGGTCTGGGTTTTAAATTACAGTGAGTCCACTACACTTGTGTCTTCACAACCCATTCTTAGGTGCCAATATGGACTTTTGAATTTGATTCTCAACTGTGTTTCTATTTTTTGGCAGATAGGGGCAAAGAAGTGAGAACATCAGCTACTACTGATCAGCATTTGATGAGGACCTTTGGGGAAAAAATAATATAGATGCACAAGCAAGTTATCGTTATTGTCTCTCAGAAATGCAGTTTGTGATATCAATGCTAGCCAGCATAGTATAAATATGAAATTCTAGCACTTATTGCACATTCAAAGTGCTCTGAAGGTTAAAATGTTATCAATCCACAAAACAATAAGGTTATAAAAACAAAAATACCAATTCAAAATGTCACCGTTTCCAATGCAACCTCTAAAAGGTGCAATTATTATGTGTGATAGCTTATATACAACTTAACTCAATCTTTCTGAAATGCCATAAAACAGCCTCCTGACATTTCCAACACGGTAAATAAAGAAAAATCACCCAGGATACAAAGCAATTTTCAAATACTATGTATTTTTCCACGCTGTTAAAAATTGCTCAATATCAATACATTTGGTATTCTCATTACGATACAAGAAACTTTGCAGCAATGATAACAAATGTTTCTGAGGGTATAATAGAGTTTTTATTTTTAATATAGTTGAAGAAGCAATTTGTCGCTGGAACAGGTACCAGAAAACAACCATTCTCAATTGCCTCTGCTGTAATAATATCACTTGTACCAACAAAACAGAAAAAAAAATTATAGATCTGGAAATCTATTTTACCTCAACCATTTATGCACTGCAATAAACGGGTTACATGTAAATCAACAAAAATGCATTTTTAACACAAAGGATTGTGATGCAAGTTCAAATGTGAACGTTGCAGAGACACATTGGCTTGTTCCAATTGTGTACGCTGTGATTTGGTGTCAGAATAACAAACAGTGAAATGATTTCTCATAAACAACAAAAGGGTGAGTGTAAATTTGCTTACAAGCTCCAACAGTCAGACACGCAATCTGATTTACAAGATACTTTTAATACAGTACAGCCTAGTTAGAACGGAGTTCTTTATCACGCAAATCGAGTTAACACAATTACAGTGTAAACCCCATTCACTGCGTGTGCTTGCGGCTGGCCTACTTTGCTTCTCTGCTAGAATGAAGAATAGTAAAGAATTTATTCCATCACCATCTGAAACGTGCTCTTTTATTAGAATTGCTCAAGGGTTATACTATATTTTACTGCAAGAGCTTGGAGAAGTTTGTAAGAGGAGCAAGACACCCTAAAGCCTGCGGCAAAAAGGATATTTTTGAATGAAATCCATCATATTTCTACTCTTTTTTCCTCTTCCATTACCCCTCTATCTCTCAAAGTGAAAACAGTCAAGGAGATGGAAGCAAAAGTACACATGCAGCTTCTCAATATTTGGAACAGGATATGAAATTAAGGAACAACATTTGGATATTGGAGGCATTGAAACATTAAAATAAAATATTTAATGTAGACGCATTGTTTAATGGCCCACATTGGGGAGGTAGGGTGGCACAGGTATTTGGTGACACCAAATAGTGTCGTATGTGAAATGTCTATGGTACTATGAATCATGATATATTATGTATCTGTGTTGAACACCTGTAGTTTTCCTACCACAAATGTATTTCACCCACCTAATACTGGAACAAAGATCATTACGCTTTAAATCCCTGCAGAATTCCCCATTAATAACCATTCCCATTTTCTGCTTCATTTCTTCCTTTAACGATTCATCTGGGAGAACCTTAAGATTCAAAAGCCAGCAAACAGCACAAGGATCATAAAAAGAAAAATATGAAATGCATGAATTATTTTCTCATTTATTACATCTAGGCTCGACTACGCCTACTCCTTGCTTGTCGGCCTTTCCAACTCTTCCCTCCGTAAACTGCAGATCATCCAGAACTCTGCAGCTCATGCTCTCTCCCACACCAAGCTCTGTGAACCTATCACCCCCATCCTCGCCTGGCTCTACTGGCTCCCATGCCCCAGAATATAGAGTTCAAAATCCTCGTCCTCGCCTTCAACGCCTTGCTCCTTCTTACCGCTGTGACCTGGTAACCCCATATCAACCTGTTTGCTCCCTACACTCCGCAGTCTCCGGCCTGCTCCATGTCCCCCGCCAGGCTCGCCCCATCATCGGCGGTCAGGCCTTCAGCTTCTCTGCACCCACCCTCTGAAACTCCATCCTGCGGTCCCTTCATCTTGCTCCCTCCCTTGCCTCCTTCAAAGCACCTCTCAAGACACTCCTTTTCGACCGTGCATTCAGCCACCCTCCCCGATCCCAAACCCCTGCTCAGGTCCAAATCCCTGACTGTCCAGAGCCCTGGGACATCCTCTCAACGTGAAAGGTGCTTTACAAATGTAATTTGTTGTTGTTGCATCAAAGCACGTGCCCACAGTTCAATGAATGGTTTACATTCCAGTTACACCACAGAAAGGGTCAAAATGTCCACATAAGAGAGATTGTCAACATAATAAAGAATGGCGTGATATTGAAATTCTGTACTCCCACTTTTAACAAGTATTGCATCACATATTTATGAAGTATGCTTAAAGCAGTGACAGGCTATAATTGCTGTTCCAACCTTTATTTGCTCCTTTGATTCAATATTAGACAAGGGAAGGTTGGTCATGGGACATTTAATTTCAGAACACTACTTCAAACATCTCTGCACACAAGAATAGAAGACACAAGCAAACCCAACGTCTTTTCAGAAGGCTTTCAGAATTACACCAACTTAAAAAACACAAAAAAGGAAATAATGAATTGGTGATTAAAACCTTCGTCCAACCATTACCCTCTTGATCCATACTGCTCATTCCAACCAGTCCCCTAAAAGCATTTTGATGGTTTTGCTCAAGGCCCAAATCCGGTCGGTTTTCACTGCTCTCCCAAGTGCCGAGATGACACCCTCAGTGGTGAGGTCTGTTGACCTCTACTTCATACAGGAGGTGGTTACATACACTCGTTATGGGTCATACAGCTTTTTTCTTTAGTGGGTCAGCATTGGAGCACCAGCAAATTATTTTTGTACTGCTGATATTCCAATGCTCAGGGCAGTCATGGGTTCAGCTGGTGCTTTACTGATAATGCAAGTGAATGCACAAGCAGAATTGTTCAGTTTCGTTTTTTAAACTCTCGATGGCTCACAGGAAAACACTGCTGGTTGGGCTGTGCACCTTACATACAATAAAAATCCACTCACCTGGTGGTGACAGAGGAGTTCTGTTGCTTCAGTAGAATTTCACGTTGTTGTAACAGAACAATCTCTCGTGAAAGGTCCTCCGGACTCCTAAAAAAATTCAAACACAAGGGTCAAGCAATGAGATTTGAACATCACCTTATCACTGATGAATTTGGAAGATTATCAGTGATCTGTAGCTATCATTTAGTGTAGGTCCTGTGCAAACATCAATAGATATGGTAATTTTTACATCAATCGGTTCTTTATTCGGTACAAATTATTCCAAGTTGCAAAACAAATTCGGTGACAATACTTTCAAAAAACAATTCTGATACAAAACTCAAAATAAATATCTTACACATTTAAATGATTGTATTACAGTGCAACATTTTGAGCAACAGGAACATTCATTATGTGGCAAATCAAAAAGTCAGTATGTCCCTAAGTAGTGAAAGCTAACCACTGGTTTGCCTGCAATGCAACGTACATAAATTCGCACAACAATGTTATACTTTCAGGGGAGTGGCTTGATCGAACATTTGCAAAATTAAACAAGACTAAAACAATAATACTTTGAAAGGTGATTGAAGAGACTGTGATGCCATTTTTCTAGGACAGATCACAAGTAGGAGAAGCAATTGAGTCAGTTCATGTTCAAGAGCGTATATAGGTCTGTCCATTTAAAATTCTAGAATGCCTTCAGAAATCCTCAGGCACTATAGCAGATTCTGAATAATTTAGTGTTTGTTAAACATTCTTTCTACCTGCACTGGACGCCTGAATCCTATCAAACCATTGTTTCAATTGCTGTGTGAAGAATTCTGCTCCCTACAAAGTGATTTCAGCTCATTCCATGACCTGCACATTTTAACTGAACTCCAAATTTCAGCTATGCCAATGTTAAAATAAAACATAAATTGTATTTAATATGGTGCCTTATTACATCAAAAAACTCAAAGTCCTTCCTACAATGAGTTACTTTGCAGTGACAATTGGTAATGCAGCTAATGGCAACAATTTTCTAATAAGAGTAATGAGATTTTTTTTCCTGTTTGGAGGAATGGAGGATTTTGGCCAGAGCATTGGAAGAAAGCTCTGCTTTCCTTCATTTAGCCTTCAAGTCCACCTAAATTACAAGAATAAGCAAACGGGACCTCAGCTTCACGCCTCATTTAAAAGGACACCATGAAATATAGATATTTAAATGCTGGGCTGTAATTGAACATATCTACTCTAACTTTATTGAAAACACAATATAAAGCTCTCCAGCTTTTTTCCCTCAACACAATCACTGAAACTTAAAAAAGTCACCTTATTTTGGGAAAACATACAGCGCACTTCCCAGAAGTCATAAAGCTGGGCGTCCACGTTGATGTTAGAAACAGCGTTCACAGCAGGTATCAATGGAACAGTAGAAACTGTTCCAAAACTGCTCTTTGAAATATAACATTAAGCGAGTAGTGGAGCACGTTGGTGCTCTCCATGGATCATGGAGTTCTAGAATGCCAATTTGAAAACCATTCCTCGCATCAAGCCTACTACTTCCAGACTATGTAACACCCTATCTCAGACTTGATACCACCCTTCCACTCAACATCTTTGGGAATGTTTTGCTTAGAGTCTCTGATTCACAACAAAACAAATCTCCAGAATATTTATGCTGATCTTGGCTGCGTTCTCATTTGGAAAGCAATAAATTGGAAGACTGATTTTCCCCACAGGAAATTAGGCAAGAGAGGAAAAGGGATAGTTTCCACGGTTTCCCACTCAGAGATTTTATGTGGAATAAGCTGTAATTTCCAATATAACCTTGCATCAAAGACCTAGAATTCCTTCTATTTTTGTCCTTCGATCTCATTTTTGAGTCTGTCTTTTGTCCTTTCTCTATCTCTCTCTGTCCCATTTGTCAGATATCAAATATCGCTAAGCAATTTCTGCTATTCCCATCCTATGCATGAAATTGGGAGAAAGTGGGCTTTCAGATCCCTTGAGGAGAACTGTTTTGTCAGAGGAAATGCAGCATTTATAACAAGAATAATCCAAATATATTCTATAAATGTGTAGGGAAAGCAGAATTTTTAAACTTAACAAAAAGGGGTAATTGACCTTGAAGTCTTTCATATAATTAGAGAATATTGCGAGATTAAATTTTATTTAAACATATTCCTTTACCTGAATTTTGGAAGAGAAATAACTAACCAAACTAATCACCAATGCACCACAGGACATCGTGTACTGAAGTCAAACCTGTTACATCCGTAGTCGATGGTAAAAATATTCTCTGGAAAGCAGACATTACACCGACAAGAAGTTTGCAAGTTAAATAAATACAGTGACGGGTACAAACTACTCTTATTAAGCAACATCCAAAATGCATCCCCTCCCCTGCCTCTCTCGCAGCTTTTCACTCTTCAATTGCTTCAGTTGGAGTTTTAGCTTCTGGCAGAAGATTGCAGGCTTCTTTCCTGCACAGATTTGACTGTCAAATCAGACCCTGAGTGATGACCCGGACCAATAGAAAAGTGGGGCCGCACCTTTTCCGCGGAATCTGCTACAAACACCCACTCTGCTATAAACCTGTACACACAGTGGGCTTACTCCGGCCGCTCACGCTGTTTGCTCGATGCTGCTACTGTGGGCGGAGCAGCTCCGGTTGCGCGCATGCAGCAAGTGTCCGATCGCGGAAGTGGCGCAAGTGGGAAATCAGTTTCGCTTGACACCCGTCTAAACTGAGCTCCTGTGACCAAGTCTTGGTGAGTGCTGTACTATTCAAATTAACATTTCTACTATCTTAAACATAACTACATATTCGGGAAATATACATCTATAGTTTTAATCCGGGCTGTTTCACCAAATGTGTCTCTCAATAGCACTAATCAACCCTCCACAATTTTCCGCAAAAGCTACCAAACTTCTCTGCAATTTTCCGCAAAATTTGTCAAACGCCCTGCAATTTTTGGCAAATATTTCTACACTTTTCTATTGTTCAAGTGACCACACACAATTCTTCGCAAGAAAAAAATAGTTTTTCTAAAACAGGCTGGTGTTATCACACCAAAATAAAATACAAAAGAATAAAAGTTTTCTGGATACTCATGTAAACTGATTTATAAAGCGATTTTCCTGGTATATGTACTTCCTGCTTTTAGCACTTAATTTGAATCGCCACACATGCCAACTGACACATAATAATGCCAATCTTACTATTTAGTTCAATTCCGATTTATAAGCACTATTTTGATCTTAAATGACAAAGAAAAAAGCAAAGCCATCTGATGGATCTCAGTCATCCCAACTTGCCAGCATGCAAAAGTATGATGACAGCACTTTAAAAGCAGTCTCAACAAACACTCTAAGCTTTTGTAGATGTCCTTCTTGATTCAATTTTAAACACCCTGCATTACAGGAGCTTGCATTTACAAAATTATACAATCTTTCATTTTTTGAAAAGTACAACAGGACATTCAGTAAATAAAACTATGTGTTTCTGGTGCATTTTATTCCAACCTTTTCACCGTTTAAATAATTACCTCACCTAACCATCCAAGTGAGGTAAAAATGTGCCAGAATAATGATTGCATTTTCATTGTCGTTTAAATTACCAAATCACAATTGCCAATAACATCCTCCATTAACACTAGAATACACTGCCTGAAAGGGAGGTGGAAGCCGATTCGATAACAACTTTCGAAAGAGAAGTAGATAGGTATTTGGGGAGGACAAGTTTGCAGGGCTATTGGGAAAGTGCCGGAGAGTGGGATTAATTTGGGTAGCTTTTCAAAGAGCTGGCACAGACACGATGGACCGAATGACCTCATTCTGTGCTGTATATTTCTATGATTCTCTGAGATGCAGTCCGGCGTGGAGGGCGCTATATAAATCCAAGTTGTTGTTGTTGTTGATTCTATTTAAGCTCCTCCATTAGCAACATTTTTACCAAAGATTCAACATGGTTTACCAGTACTATCATCATAGCATGCTAACTACAGTAGAACCCAATTTTAGGGCAATAGTGGAGGTCCACAAAATTCCAACCCACCTTATAATGAAGTACGATCAAGATCTAAGTTGGGGGGGGGGGGTGATATGAATTGTAAATAGCCTCTACAGCAAAGAATATCTAATGTCAGTTTCAAAATTTTATTTTCTTACAGTCTAGGTACATCCCTGCATGACTGAGATATGTTAAGCTAAACATTATGCAGCATGGATTTTTGAAGGTTTTGAAATGCAGCTTGTTTTAGCCAAAGAGAATGGTCTCTCAAATCATTCACCACAGACTGAATTTTGATGGACAAAGTTAGATATACAGGAAGTGCCTGTTAAACTGTGGCAAAACTGTACAACAGATTCAGAAGAGCGTTCACGGCACATATTCTATCAAACAGGCTTAAGCCTTATCTCCGTGGTGAGACAGGTGTTGAGTATATTAGGAGGCGATAGCTCTCAGAATTAGCCTGGCCGCCATCTGTCAGCAGCCACTACCAGCTGGCTTCCATCACCAAAGCAAATCTCCATCAACTGTCCACAAACCAACAGTTCAGCCTTACAGCCCCAGGAAAATGAATTACATACTCCTTTAACACATGTAAAGAAAATGAGGATATCTGAAATTTCCAGCAGGGCTTTGCACTCACAGGGGGATTAAAGACAGGCCTCAAATAGGCCTTTACAGCAATTAAACCTGCATCTATACTCAAGGGACACTACCCCGGTGAACATTCTTCCAATTTGTTATACAATGTTTATCTACACAGCACAGCAGACACTAGCTCTATCTATTTTAAGTGAGTGATACAATAGGCCCGACGGTGTGCTCCATTAGGTCATAGGGACCACATTCCCTGTATGAGGCATAGGCCTTGCTTTACAATAATAAATATTGAGAGGAGAATGGAGCGAAGGAAGTGAACATACATTTCCACCATCCAATTTATATTCTTAATCTATTGTAAACATCCCAAACCCCAGGAGATCATATTTTCTTGGTCACATAATATAACTAGTCCATTCTTACTGTGCATGAGTGTATGTATTTGTTAAAGTCGCTATTAGTGAAATCAGTAAAGTTAAATTAATAATCCTTGTATTTGATATAGCAGCTAGAA